TTCTTCACAGCTGTACATTGGGAAATATATCAGTACAACTGAGGGGTCTTGTACTGAGATGAAACTGAAATTCAGTGCTTCCAAATTTTTGATAGCTCCAAACTCTTCGGTCAACACTACCTGAAAGACAAACTTCAAGGCATATAAGTAAGATAATAGGATGTTCCAGAAAAGTTCATGATCAAAGATTTAAGTTATTCGATGAAAGTAGAGAACAACAGAAATAATACTACGTAACACAAGAAATAGCCTGAAAAGATTTTAGAAAATGCTTCGAACAGTAAGATTTGGTAGCTGGTAAAAATAAACAAATCAACAGATATTGGACTGAGTAAATGAATAAAATACAAAAAAATGAAACATAAACAGAGATGAAGTGTATCAGTTTAAGGTCAGCGTAATGTATCAGTTTGTACATGTTTCTTGTGAATACACAATTGATGTTTGAAGTTGTCAATTGCTAAGACTTATGTTTGTAGTTGACCCAAAGAAGTGTCAAGTAAACCAAAATAATAAACTACGTATAATATACAAGAATAGATTCACTGATACAGAAATATGAAAAGTTATGCGTTATAACCCAAAATAGGAATGTTAATGTTACGGATAATAATGGGTTACTTAGATGTTATCTCTTCGGTACTGTCCACTACAGTTTTAGGATACTCCAGAGTTCAGAAGGCAATACTTGTTAGCTCTCTACAGTCCACGTTGGTTAGCTTGATTGTCGTAACATTTGGAAGTAGTATGAGCGGTCCTGTAAAATCCAAAGACAATCAATGAGTATTCATGACACACAATAATCAACGGAGGCAGAAGCGGGAATGGATAGAAGCTCACTACATTTCCACGTTTAACAGCAGCAGCAAAGTCAGTAAAAATACCGCCACAACCAAAAAGTGTACACATAAACCACATCTGTTTTACAAGTATAGGGAAGAATGTACAAAATGTGTAAAAAGCAATGAAAATGCGACATTATTTTTAATCTAAGTAGTTTATACACAATTTCGTGCAGTCTTCACATATTGTACGCAGAAGTTTGAACGGTTTCGTCCTACTCTGTAGAGAACTTTGAACGAGGTTTCCAATGGAGCCAGATATCCCGACTCCACGAGGTGTTTAATGATGGGGCTGAAGATGTTTTCGTGCTCATGCCTCAGTAACCAATGTGAGTAATGTTGGCGAGTGCATTGTACGACCGACAAACTCAGCTCCAGGGGATTTGTAACTATTTAGCTCTTGAAACACACTCTTCACAATCAATTTTAGTTCAATGAGTCAGTCACGGATATTGATCTGTTTTCAAAGAGAATACTTCAGTTGAACGTCATGTCACTACTGTTAACAGAAATATTCTGTTTCTTGTGCAACTTCATTCAATGTAAAAATCTAGATGTTGGTCCGGTTAACTGTTGCCTAAAAGAACTTCACCTAGTATGTACTTTTAATGTTCATTTCAGCGAAGGAAATGCTCATTTTTTTTTCACGAAATCATTATTTTAGATGCATATTCATGAAAATATATTGAAAAGGGTGAAGCAACGTAGGATCAGTTTCATTTAGGTGTCACAATACAAAAGATGACAAAAGAGAAGTCACATAATATGTATGGGGATTTCAAAATAGAGAAAAAAACATGAGATTGAAGATGATTTATAATTACAATATACAAGAATTATCTAGAATGATCGATTCTTTACAATACCCTTGATAATGAAAGCTATCTCTTTCATTTCCTTTAAACGCTTAGTAATGGTTTGAAATTTTGAACTGATACTGCTATTGCTCTACTCAGATATCTTTTCCTTACTTCCTTTGAATGTCCAGTTTGCAGTTTAGACAAAATGTTTAGTGCTCTTTAAGAGGCTAAATGCCATGAGTTTTCCTTCCTTTTCAGCCAAACTTCATTCTGCTAACAAACATGTTTCGTAAGCTGACCCAAAGTATTGCTAATAAACTCTGCCCAATGGAAGCAAGTCAACTAATATACACACATTGATGCGGTCTTATATTCTAACAGATCTTTCGCACACTGATAAACAAGTTTCTGGCAGGAATCTGTGATTCTGAAAATATCGGTAATACGATTCTGCTTACCTATCTTTATAGGATTTCTGTGAGAATTCTTACGGTACAGTTACGTACAAATTCAAGGTTCAACATTAAAATCTTTGTTCTTTCAAGATGTAAACCTTTGATGACACACATTTTGGTAAGAAAGCAATCTTCACTAAAAAGATTCATAATTTCTTCTGTTAATCGTTGATCATATCTTCTGTGTATGTTGTAATGACTATTGAGGAGAACTGATTTCCAAACTGATTCACCTTTCCTTATTATTTCAAACTGGATATCAAGAAGGTGGAACATAAGGTTAGGCTCTGGTTATACAGAGGAAGCTAATTTCCGTACATCGATTAAAAAAAAAGCCATTTTCGTAGTTTTATTTCATTCTATTTTAAATGTTCACTGATTTCAAATAAAATATGTTTATGAGTACATGTTCTTCTAGCCAAGATAAGGCCATTTAATAATTTTTTTAAAATCTACAATCTACTGAAAATTCACTGTTTTATCAATTTATCACTTATAGATGTTCTTTGTTAATGTAAAATTAAGGTTTCATCACTTTGACTGCGATAACCACAGTTATGTTGAGAAGATATTGGTAAGCTATATATAGTGTTGCCGTTGGCATATAATGTCTTAGGCAATCTAATAAACTCCGAGCGTCATATAAATGCTAATAAACAAATACTGATAATACCATATATCATGTGCCAGAAACAATACTGCATGTAACCTGTGAAAGCCTAATTCAAGATAGCTGAGGCTATAGCAGTAAGATTGAACAAACTTGGAGTTTACATTCAAAAAAAACATATTCAGCTGTTATTCCTCCCTTAGATTTCAGCAAAACTGAAGGACACTTCTGTCCCCTTTATTTCTTCTCTTTTAGTTTACCACCAAATTCAAACGCCAGCGCGTTATCCACTACACCACCGAGCCACGATAGCCACTTATTGTGCGACGGGTATAGGTTTAGTGTTATTGCTTGTTTATTACACCGTCGTTGATTGGACCGACAGGCAATATCGAGGCATCTGCATAGGAGCCCATATGCCAACAGAGACTGATCAATTCGGTCCAATCAACAACGGTGTAATACAAGCAATAACACTAATCATACATTTACTTAAATCGAAATGTAAGTACACCAAGTTTAGGTATACAACAGACAAACAACTTTTTGTCAGTGAATTTTTACTAAGTATCATCATCATCATCTATTGGTTAACTAGGGAAGGTTGGGCGTTAGACGATTAATCCTACCCTGGAAAACCAATCCAACCGCTAAAGAAACTTCAAAGCACAAACAAAAATATGAAAAATAAAAACAAAGTTATTCCTCGCCGGAATAGGAGAGACGAAAATGACGCTGGTTGGTGAAAGCCTTCGATAAGGCAATTGGCTGATGTGTCTTGTCTCACTCGATGAAAGCGAAAGTAAACGTGGGGACATAACATGTCCCCACCATGTATGAACCTAGCAAGGTTGCCGAGATTGCAAAGGAGATGAGAGGGTATCGCAATGAAGTGTTAGGAATTTGCGAAAGCAGATGGAATTGAAGAGGACTCTCCAAACTGTCAGCTGGAGAGGAGTCAATAATCTACTCCGATATTGTCATCCAGACGACAGTCACGAGCACACTCAGTGAGTCGTTATCATGATGTCTCCAAGATCATCGAAGGCTCTCATCCAGTGGAAACCAATCTCCTGCAGGATCATGACAGCTGCACTTAGCATAAAGAACAAGATCCGGATTTTCAACACCAATTCAGTCAAGTCAGTGCTTCTAAGTCATGGTTCAGAAAGTTGGCGCGTCACGAAAACCACTTCAAATAAACTACACACATTCACCAACAGCTGCCACCTACCCTCACTAGATACTGAAGATGGAGATCAGATGGTGAGAATAATAAGAATAAGCAACAAGTAACTTTGGTTGGCTGTCTGGCTGTCAACGAATCCACCAAGAACCTATCACCCAAGAAATATGCAGAAGGAAGTGGAGATGGATTCGATCGGGCATACACTGAGAAGGCTAACTGGAGACGTCATGCGCCAGGCGAGATGCTCGAGTAGAATCCAAATGTGAAACGACGAATTGGGCATTCGAGGCGAGAGTAACATGGAGGGGATCATATGAAGGAGGAAGAAATGAAAGCTTGTGGGCAGTGAATGGAGCCAGGTTGAAAAGACTGCCGAGAAGAGAGTGGAATGGAGACGTGCTACTGAAACCCTATGTTCCAAGGGTAAAGTAATAATAATAATAATAAAAAGACTTGAATGATGCATTTCGTAGAATACCATACAGGGAATTAGGCAAACTAATAGTTAATTATCTTAGATAGCTGTGGTTTGACACACTCGTACTATTGAAACTGAACTATGTTTGCAGGTGAAATGAAAACTGGAGTCATATCCGGTTATCGGGTTACCGGCTTGCTAGTCTAACAACTCTGCTATCAGACCTAGCTGGTGAACACATCTTCACTTTACTTTAATCATTAATGTTATTCTACTGAAAAGAATTGTTAAACACAGTCACTAGATAATTACTTTATTTCTTTTTTTTTTTTAACTAACAACGCTGACTAATCATTTTCCAATAGTAAATTATACCAATTGTATTCAAAGTTATCTTGGTAACCAGAATGTTGAAAGGTTACCACAGAACTATAAATTTTATAAGAAACGTTGACCAGTCAAGTCTAGTTTTTTTTTAAAAATTTATACAGATAGATTAATTAAGGTCATAAATGTCATTTTGAGATCAACTTAAATACAAGATTGAACAAGTAAAACAAAAGTTAATGAACAGTGTTAACTAATATTCATAATGTTTCATGAAACAGTTAACGAGAATACAAATATAATTCCTATACAGTTTGATTGTTTACAATGCAATACTCTGTTCAGTATTTAATATGGATGATTAAGCGATTATAAGATGATTTGGTCAATTTTTAGTATATAAATGATCTTTTTTCATACAATAAGAAACTCATCATTAAGACAATGAATAAACTGGTGATAGTTCTCAGTATTTTATTTGCCATTTTCATTCACATCAATACAATTGAATGTAAGTTATAACAATGAATTTTGTTTAAAACAATTAGTTTCCTTTATAAACTTCCATAAAACAATATTTATTATTATTATTATTACTATTATTATTATTAGTCCCTTGGGTTCCTAGTGGAACATAGGGCTTCACTAGCACATATCCAATGCTCTCTGTTCTCTGAGATCTTTTCAACCTGGCTCCACGACAGCCCACAAGCTCTCATTTCTTCCTCACACGACCTCCTCCATGTCACCCTCACCACGGATGCCCAACTCGTCGCTTCCCATGAGGATTCCACTCGAGGGCCTGGCCTGACGCGTGATGTCCTCAGTCGGCCTTCTCAGTGTATGCCCAATCCATCTCCACTTCCTCCTGCATATTTGTTGCGTGATAGGTTCTTGGTTGGTTCGTTCCCAGAGCTCCTTATTGCTGATTCTTTCTGGCAATCCATCTGATCTTCAGTACCATAAAACAATAAGAAGACGTAAATTGTATGAACCGTGTAATGTATTTGTGCAACACATTTCGAACTATCTAATCACACACACACTTGTCATACGTATTTATATTGAAAACTCATGAAGATAAGGGATGAGAAAATGAAAAGGGATCAGGTAGGAAGGCTGATTTAAACGCTGAATAACAATGGAAATGAATAGAGCGAAAAAGTAATGGTACATGGAACTTGGTTTTTCAATAGTTGAATTTACCAAGGAAGATTTAATGTGACAATAAATTGTTTATGAATACATAAAGGTGGTTTCAACTTTCTTATAGCTGAGGCTTTAACAAATTTCAGGATCCCTCCCAACATATTTTGTAAATAGGTAGCCACATCAATGCTATGGCCTGTCTCAACGATTTGATTGTCAATCGAAGAACATTTATAGGTTCAGGTGGTTTAATTTGCTTCTGAAGCCATTTTGGAATATGTTCTGAGGCCCTTACTTGCATAGATCTATTAGTCCTCCCTATGTATAGGTCACCAAAGTGGCTTCAGAAGCAAATTAAGTCACCTGAACCTATAAATGTTGGTAGCAAACGTCCAAGATCTTCGATCACCAAACATATCGTTGAGACAGGTCACAAGATTCATGTGGCTACTTCCTTTACACCTATCTACAAAACATGTTGGGAAGGGATCCTGAAATTTGTTAAAGCCTTATTTACTATAAAGTTGAAACCACCTTTATGTATTCATAAACAATTTATTGTCACATTAAATCTTCCTTGGTAAATTCAACTATTGAAAAACCAAGTTCCATGTACTATTATTTTTTCGCTCTATTCATTTCCATTGTTATTCAGCGTTTAAATCAGCCTTCCTACCTGATCCCTTTTCATTTTCTCATCCCTTATCTTCATGAGTTTTCAATATAAATACGTATGACAAGTGTGTGTGTGATTAGATAGTTCGAAATGTGTTGCACAAATACATTACACGGTTCATACAATTTACGTCTTCTTATTATTTTATCGAAATCAATTTTATATTCTTAATTACCTTATTAAAGATTCTATGATACATGATTTGTACATTGTTTAAAGTTGATGAGATTGAAGCTTTTATTATAGTTCAGAGAATGTTACTGATAACCAAAAGGTAATGATAAGCTATTGTGAATGATATGAATCCATACAGTCGACAAAGAGTTAAATCAAGGCTATTTGTGTAGTCTTTAAAAAGTTTCAGTTGTATACACTTTCCATGACAATTATCTGATGTGTATTTACTTCTGAGTAAACAAATATGCACAGTATAGTTTCTAATGTTAACAACTACATTATAAACCTATTATGTTATGTAATGTTACACTGAAATCATTTTACGATAATACTATTCATGAAGTTATTCAAGTGGAATGATTGAGAGTAAAGTGGATGTCTTTTTTGATAGGTAAAATAGAAACATTTTTACACTTTTGCATTATCACTGTTACACATTCATATATACATTATGATCAACTTGTCAGTTAAACTGTATAGGTTGCTTTATGATGAAAAATCTCGAAGAAACATTTATTATACTGGTAATCGAAATTTTTTTTCCAATATACTTCAACTTTTTTATCAATTTATGATGACATAAAACTAATTTCTCGTTTCTATTCAACTCTATTTCTATGGTAAACACTTCAATTAAGATATTCCGTAGCATCATACCCATTCCTGCCTGATATACTCACTACTGAATAATTGAATAATTCACAATCTATCCTTCATGAAGTATTTTTTATTACACAACAGATTTATCCTAGAACAAAAAAAATAACAATTTGAATGAGTAAATAGAAAATGAAAATATTCTGAACGTATTTTCGGAACCATAATAATTGATGAAATATGTTTCCAGTCTCAGTATTGGTGACAACAAAGTGAAATCATTATATTATTTACTATCCACTGAAGTAATCATTACAGAATAAGAGTTTATCATTTAATTATGTAAGATAGCAGTAGTTTAGCAGACTACTATTTGTACAGGATGATAATTGAAGGTGAAACTGAAAATATGGATAGTAGCCGGATTCGAACCAGTGACCACCGGGTTACCGACCTACGAGGTTCAACTGTTCATCAGATTTTCATTTAAGTTCAATCACCAAGGATTTTCCCTGATTACCATGTGAATTCGTGACACTGGCTGTCTGGTCAGGACATCTCATCCCTATCCAAATCTAACTGAATCAGAGACGGGAAGTATCATTTAACTTCAATTACGAAGAGTTTTACCTGACTGTGATGCTCCGTCTAACTAATTCAGGTAGATTTAGATTGCGATGAGAAGTCCTGGCTATACAGCCAGTAACGCTTCATCAAATCACATGGTAATCGAACAAAATCCTTGATGATTAGAGTGAAATAAAAATCTAGTTAGCAGTCAGACTTCATAGGTCAATTGGTAGAGCACTGGGTCGGTAACCCAGTGGTCGGTGGTTTGAATTTGGCTGCCATTCAGATTTTCATCTCACCTTCACTTATCTCTCAGTATAGATAACAGTTTGATTAAATTTCTAAACAGAGAATAACTAATCCATATACATAAGTTTAAGATAGATTAATTTATTAAACTGCATTTTAATATACTACTGACTGATACCAGTAGTTGTAGATTATTCACATCAAAATGATCAACTTAAATAAATAATTTTCTGTATAAAACATATTTTTACATTATACATATGAAAATTACAAATGAAAAGATTATCATCACATTTAATTATATTTTAGGTGTTTGTAAAAAACTTGGAGAAGAATGTCGTAAATTACCAAATAAACAATGTTGCAAGGGTAGTGTTTGTCAGTTAAAAGGACTCAAAGGTAAATGTGTTCGATGCTTGCCAAATGGATATTTTTGTACCAAAAGTAAAGATTGTTGTCGTGGAAAATGTAAAATGTTAAAATGTAATGATAATGGTTCTCATATGAAAATAAAGAAAATAAAATAATTTTTATTAGTAAATGAATAAAAATGAAATTTCATACATTTTAAAAATACAAGAAAAAAAATATGCATTATTAAAAATCTTTTCTTCTGATTATATTCTCATAATGTTAAACTATGATGTAAGTAATCATTGTTGTCGACTGTATCAGATCATATTAGAAAAGTTGTAGTAAACATATAAGTAGAAGAAGATGAAACAGGAACACTGACCGATATTTTGTTGGAAAATAACTCTCCATCAACATTTATCAGGGCAGAACAAAATTAGCACAGCGTCAAAACTAGAACTGTAGTCAGTCCCAAAGAAGGATGTTTTCATCAGCCTTCCGTACAAAGGTGACTCTCAGAGTGCAATCCTTAAGCAGAGACTTAAAGCTGCTGTTAGAAGGACTTATTATGCAGCCAGGGTTCGAGTAATCGAAACCACGAAGCCCCTTATATTCCCCCAAACACCCACAGCATGTAAACGATAATGTCACATCCCATTGTATCTACCAATTCAAATGTACGTGTGGTGACACATACATAGGGAGGACTAATAGATCCATGAAATTAAGGGCCTCGGAACATATTCCAAAGTGGCTTCAGAAGCAAATTAAATCATCTGAACCTATAAATGTTGGTAGCAAACGTCCAAGCTCTTCGATCGCTAAACATATAGTTGAGACAGGTCACAAGATTGATGTGGCTACTTCCTTTACACCTATCTACAAAACATGTTGGGAAGGGATCCTGAAATTTGTTGAAGCCTCAGCTATAAGAAAGTTGAATCCACCTTTATGTATTCATAAACAATTTATTGTCACATTAAATCTTCCTTGGTAAATTCAACTATTGAAAAACCAAGTTCCATGTACCATTACTTTTTCGCTCTATTCATTTCCATTGTTATTCAGCGTTTAAATCAGCCTTCCTACCTGATCCCTTTTCATTTTCTCATCCCTTATCTTCATGAGTTTTCAATATAAATACGTATGACAAGTGTGTGTGTGATTAGATAGTTCGAAATGTGTTGCACAAATACATTACACGGTTCATACAATTTACGTCTTCTTATTGTTTTATCGAAGTTTATAAAGAGAACTAATTGCTTTAAATATAAAGTTATCTTGGTATTAAAGTTTTCCCTGAAGCCTCTGATACATTTTATACTGTCATCTTGATTTTCTATCCATCTTTAGTTATCACCGTATTTTACAGAAACAAGTATGTTAAATCATGATTACTTTAACTAAAAAGCATAGACCTACTTCTCTTGCGAACACTTCCATTACAAAATCGAAAGAATTTTTCGTCGTGAAAGTATTTCACCAGAATTGAGAATTAAAATTCTTTTTTTACCTTATTCTAACTCACAAATATTAATTGTCTTAATGGTGTTGTACATACTTCTATGACAGATTTCAATGAAACCAGACTTTCTTGTGGATAAGTACACCATAAGTGGCAATGTAGGATGGAAAAGGGTCCTGATATTTTATGTCATTACAGATATTGATGATTATTTCGATGACTAAATGATTGTTTATTACCATAAATGGATTTATCTCTTATAACAATACACTTTGATGGCCATAAACGCCGCAACCAATCACTTTGTGTATATATATATATATATATATATATATATATAATTATTTTTCCCTTGGGTTCCTAGTGGAACATAGGGCTTCACTAGCACGTCTCCATTCCACCCTCTTCTCTGCGGTCTTTTCAACCTGACTCTATCACTGCCCATAAGTATTCATTTCTTCCCCTATGTCACCCTCACTTCGGACACCCAACTCATCGTTTCACATTTGGATTCCACTCGAGAATCTCGCCTGGTGCGTGTCATCCCCAGTTGGCCTTCTCAGTGTATGCCTAATCCATCTGCACTTTCTTCCTCTGCACACAACTGTTAGGCGATGGGTTCTTGGTTGGTACGTTGCCAACCAACCAGCCAGCCAGCCAGAGCTCCTTGTTGCTTATTCTTATTATGCTCACCATCTGATCTCCATCTTCAGTATCTAGTGAGGGTAGGTGGCAGCTGTTGATGAATGTGTGTAATTTGTTGGAAATGCTTTTCGTGATGTCCCAAGCCCCTCAGCCATTACTTAGAACCACTGACTTGATTGAATTGGTGTTGAAAATTCGGATCTTGCTTACCCTTTATGCTGAGCGCAGTGCACAATATCTCCACACTGGTTTTAGGTTAATGAAAGCCTTTCTTCTCTTCCCGATCCTGGCTAGCTTTTACGTCTTCGTCTCTGCCACCACCTGTAGTTGATTGAAACAGTGCTGTCTAGATAGGTGAAAGAGGCTACTTCCTTCAAGTTTCTTCCGTTGGTGGTGATTGGAGCTTCTTGTTGTTGTTTTCGGTGGTGGTGTTGTTGGTTGGGTATTTTCATCACCTGTACCTCTGTTTTCTCTACGTTCACTTGAAGTCCCATCTTCGCTGCCCTGCCCAGCCTCTTCTGTCAACTTGTTAGTTTTCGCCTGTACATCTTCGAGTTTGTGTGACATCAGACACAAGTCATCGGTGGCGAGATCCAAATCTTCTAGGTTCTTTTCCACAGTCCAGCGTTTCCCCCTTTTATCATTCCTCACTGTTTGTTGTATGATCCAGTCCACTACAATCAGGAATATCATAGGTGATAGTAGGTGGTAGCCTTGTTTTACTCCTGTCTTCACTTCAAAAGCATCACTGAGCTCCCCGTTGTGAATCACTTGGCATGTGGCGTCTTCATATGGTTGTTGAATGAGATTGATAAAGGTTTGTGGCAGTAAAATTGTGATGTTGAAACAGTTACCTGCCAAATTACTTCTTGGCCGACGCTGTCGAAGGCATACATATATATCAAGTCATCTTGCTAACCGTCTTCCAAAACAAAATAAGGTCGTACAGTCTGTAAACATGTAAACTTGTCTTTATCCCTTACGAGGTAAACTATACTAGATATTCTTACGTCTAAGAACACGTTGATGATGAATTTAAAATTATAAAAATCCTAGATGAAGATAAGAATAAACTTAGAAGTCAGCGGAGTCTGTTGCGTTGGCGGATACTCATTGATGACAACGGGTTACAATCAAACTATACCACGAATCGACACAACTGAGGAAATATAAACAATTAGTTTGTAAACTTGTAGCTGAATAGTTGTACACTCAAAGCATGAACTGAATGTGCTATGCTCGGTACTTCACAGTATGTTACTTTATCATCTGTAAACTAAGATGAAACAGCTGTCTAGTACCCTAAGTTTTTCAACAGTTTTCAACTGATTCCAATGAGTGATGAGAACTACCATGAATTTTACCCCACTTTGTGAAGAACCTCATGATTGTATGTTCTAACTAAATTCAAATCTTAGATCGCCTACTATTTATCAGTTACTTTTAACAACCTTCAGCTATTAAGAAAGACATTAAAGTGAAGTATGCTATCAAACCAGTGTATTGTTATATTCTCAAATAGGAAGCTGAACAGATTACAAGTTTGTATTACATCTCAACTTCTGACAAGCCTCATAATCCATACTGAAAGGTCTAATATCTGGTTGAATTTTTAACTAGCCAGCTTACTGAGTATGATATCTAGATGTTAGTTGATTGGAAGCAATCGGCAGGAAGGCATGAACCCAGGTTTCGTGCTTGTTGGCACTCGTCAGCAAGGCATATCTGCAACCTCAACGAAACTAATGTCCTACCTAAGATTCGAACCCGTGTCACCCACTGTTGTTGTCAGCGACTTTACCACTGAGCTATTCGGGCTGCGATAGACTCCCTGTAGGACTGGGTTAAAACCAACCAACTAACATCTACTAATGTGTACCGCGATGCTGAACCTCCTAGCTTGGTGGCCGTATTGCAAAAATGATCGATGGATTTCGGTCTGCACTCAGGACTAGACAACATGAAATTGGTCCCTCTCCCGTGACCAGCCTATACAAGTATGACTTCAATGAAGTTTTTTTGAAGTCATAGATCACAGTTATTGGTTCGTGATATTTAAAATAAAAGTCTCATGAAGGGAGAAGGATTAGATAACTTTGATTTGGACAGCTGAATCTGCAAACCTGTTAGTCTAGGTCATGGGTCAAGCGCAGTTAGATTATGAGAATGACTGAGAGTTTTTCCTGTTAACCTTCTTATTTAATTCTTCACTCAAACGTTAAGTAACTTAGTCAACAAACGGCTTTTAATCCTTTTAACGTAGATCATAGGGATCAGTCTTTTCCTGAGAACGTTTCTTATCAATAAGATACATTTTTACTCCGAACCACATTTGGTCATTTAAAATCAGCTGAGATAGTACCAACTAAATGAAAATTTCTAAGCTCAACTCTTTAATTCACCCAAGTACTAATAATCAACGCTTACTCCAAAGTTTCCAACTTGAAATGGAATGTGAACAGTCAAGCGTTCTGAATCAGCAGTTAAATACTTGTAGACAGTCATTAGTCAGTCAAATTGTCAACCATTTCAGTTTGTTGAATAGATTTTCTTTCTGACGTCACTCTACACTACTTCTATGTTGTAGCAGTATGTTTCAAACTACTAGCTGTTATTATTTATTGATACTTACCTCAGTGGTCTGGTGATAACGCTGTGGCGTTTAAAGCAATAATGGGAACAACATCACTCACTGGTGTGCAGCTGATGAGCTCCGAACAGGACGAAACAGGTCCCCTAGATTTCACTGTTAGCCATCACCAACCAAATTATAACATACTAACTAGTATTTGGAAGTCTATTTTTCATGTAAGCATATAAAAAAATCAAGATAAAAGATGCTTGGATAGAATTATCTAGAAAATGTTTAGTTCTAGTAAACCATGTACACTGTTTACATGTTATTAGAACAGTGATGCTTTAAGTAATGGCTTAACTCAATCAAGTGAAATAATCTACTCCATTGTACAGACTTACTGTAATACTGAAAGGAGACATTAGGATTAGACTATAGCGTTAATGCCAAGCTTTTCGAGTTTATATAAATTTCCCATCAATATATTTATTGTCTATAAAGGAAATAAGAAAATCAAGTGGATGGGAAACAAACTAAACACTAGGTGATACATTAGAATATACAA